ACATGTGATACATCACATAAGCAAATTGAGAGATGAAAATCACATAGTCATATCAATCGATGCAAAAAAAGCATTTGACAAAATCCAATACCCTTTCTTGATAAAAACTCTCAGCAAGTTGGTAATAGAAGGATCATACCTCAACATAATAAACCCACAGCCAACATCATACTCAATGGATAAAAACTAAAACCATTTCCCCTAGGAACAAGACAGGGAAGCCCACTCTCACCATTCTTGTTCTACATAGTATTAGAAGTAGTAGCCTTTGAGATGAGACAAGAAGAAGAAATAAAAGGCATCCAAATTGGAAAAGAAGTAAAACTGTACTTATTCCCAGATGACATGATAGTGTACATAGAAAACCCTAAAGACTCCATCAAAAAATTATTAGACTTAAATGAATTTGGCAATGTAGCAGGATATAAAATTAATGTCAAGAAATCTATGGCATTTCTATACACCAATAGTGAACTTACAGAAAGAGTATAAAAAAGAAATCCCAATTACCATTGCACCAAAAAAATTAAGATACCGGGGAATAAACTTAACAAAGGAGGTAAAAGACTTATATGCGAAAAACTAAAGGACACTGAAAAAAGAGATAGAGGAAGACATAAACAGATGGAAGAACATACTGTGTTCATGGATGGGTAGAATCAACATCATCAAAATATCCATACTACCCAAAGCAATCTATAGATTCATTGCAATCCCCATTAAAATACCAATGGCATATTTCGAGCAGGGTAACAATTAAAGAACCAGCTCTGGTAAGTTGACCTCCCCAAACCAGTTTTAACTGCAATAGAGAAAATAAACCCTTGCTACTGGATAGAGAAACCGTATAACAGCCAAGGCCAACCCAAAAACACTGCCACCCAGAGGCTGAGCCACAAACTGACTCTTAGCTAAATACAAATTAAGGCAGTCTGGGACACAAATACGGCCTGCTTTAAAATCAGGACTGTGGTTTACAACATGGAGGAACAGTGTATTGCAGGGAAATTTAACAC